ACTCCCCAAGATATAGAGTGAGCGTTGCTCGGAGTATATCGGGATTGTATGTTTATACCATCAGCACAAGAGGGAGGTGAAGCCGGTTGTCCCCCCCACACCAGTGCAGTGATCTGCTCTAATTCTACCTCCTCTGGCATTAGTTCCATGTGATGTGAAAGTGCAGCATCAGGAGCCGGTGGCTGAGACCAAACTGGAGATGGTTTCTGGGTCGACTTGTCCTTGTTTCCATTTCCAGTTGTGTCTGACAGGACATCTCTGAAGTGCCTGTGCTGACTTTGCTATTCAATGCTTTCAGCAACTTTCTCTCTCTCCAACAATCACAGTCTGAGCTTGAGGTCATTGCTGGTGACATTGTTAGTGTTTGTCTCTGGCTGCGTCACTGGTGGGAGCAGTTGCAGTGTGTTGTACAGAGCTGGAGCCTGTCCTCTTAAGGTTGGCAAAGCCATATGTTAATGGGCTGTGTTGACAAGATCTCTAGGTTATGGGCTGGAACCAGCTCTAATACATCTGTAATATCAGATGATTAGGTGGTAGTTGGCTTGTCCTATAATATATGTTTATATTGTATTATATGGAGCAAAGGCGGGTAATTGGAGTTGAGGTACAGATCAGCCATGATCCGATCGAATGGCAGAACAGGCTTGCGGGGCTAAATGGCTTGCTCCTCTTCCTATTTTCTTATGTTCTCGATTGACAGTAGGAGTGTGAGTCAAAAACATTGGAGCTGCAGTTCTCCAGTTGGCTGTTTGTGTGATGTTGGTGTGTGCAACTTGGCTGCTGTATTTGTTTACAAATACAGTCACTACATTAAAGTACAGAGAAGAGAGTTTCTCTGTCCGGTGTCCTGGCCAACAAACTCCCCAAATAAAATTGGTCACTCATTCCATGACTGTTTGTTGGACATGTTGATTTAAAGAAAAGCATTTCGCCAACAAGAAGGTTGTGGGTTCAAGCCCCACATTGGAACTTGGAATCACGTCGTCTAACTTCCTGAAATTGCCCTTCATAATTCTAAAGCTGTGTCCTCTTGTTCTATGATATTGGTGCATCTGAAAGCATTGTTCTGGTTTCAAATGTAATTATTATTAATTATCCTGAACCCACAACTTTCTGATTCAAAGGCAAGCGTGTTACTACTGAGACAGGATAACATTATCTTCCAGACTAGGAGGTTGCTTTATCTACAAGAAGAGTGTGCATGTTCATGGGGGCAGTGATTCTTCTCACTCAGCTTCTATTAACCCTGCAAGCCAAAGTTCTAACAGGTAGGGTAGTCCTAGCTGGACAAGCAGCCAGACAGTGTTATCAGTGGCAAGTTATGTGCTGTTAGCTGGTTAGACCCCAGCAGTTACCCCAACACACACACTGCCAAATCTGTGACTATTTTGTTTGGGAAAGTCAGGTGTCTGACACAAGCTAAACCCATCACGTGTTTAAGAGTATTCAAACCAGACTGAGAGTTTCATGCACCTCACCTTCACATGTATTTTAAAGAGATGTTTATTGGAATGCAATGCACACTCTTCCCCTGGAGAGACGCATCCTGTTTATCTAATTCCAGTGATTGTTAGGCACAGGTTGGCAAAAGCCAAGGCTTGAGGACCCCAGAGTGTGTATTGAGGTAACTGTTGGGAGTCTAAACCACCCAAAACATAGCTTGCCATTAATTGCACTGCCTGGCAAGCTTTTCTGCTGCTTTTTCAGCTAGGATCACCCTACCCGTTACGGTTTTGGCTTGGAACAAGAACAACTTGCATTTATATAGCACCCTTCATGCGACATTGCAGGGTTAACAAGAGTTCCTGCCCCTGATCTACTTTGAAATTAGGTAAGTAGGTTGTGTCCCTCCGGGGAGAGAGTGCACATTCCATTCCTGACACAGGGAAATTTCCATGAGTAGGTGGGATGCATGGGACTCTCAGTCTGGTTTGAATACTCTTAAGCACAGTGATGGTTTTCCAAATGTGTCACACAGCCGGCTGCGTTCATCAGACGTGGGTCTCAAATATCTTCAAGGAAATCAATACCCTGTCAGCATCAAATATTTGTTTGGAGCTTGCCAGAGACGAGTTAATCAGCGCCTTGGGACGCCCTCCCGACGTAAAAGACGCTATACAAATGTAATTTTGTTGTTGTTGTTGTAATGAAGGAAGACTCGAAATTTAGCCCTTTTACCACTCGCTCTGAGAAGGTTACAGTGTGACTTAGTTAGAGATATAAAGGGTTACAACAGGGTGATTAGTGACAGTGTCTACTAGTTTGCGAGTCAGTAACAAGAGAGGCCTAAACTGTAAGGTAATCGCAAACGAAACAAAAGGGGAGATTAGAAAAAAAATGTCTTTTACACAGAGGCTGGTTGGAATGTGGAATTCTCTACCACAAAGTGTTATTTGACAATTGTTGAGATAATTATTTGCCTGCTTCATCCTCCCCCCATTGGCGGTCAGGCTTTCAACCTGTCTGTCCCCACTCTTTGGAACTCTATCCTGAGCCCCTCCACATCTGCCCCCCCCAATCTCTGAAACTCCATCCTAGACTCTCTCCAACTCGCTCTCCTTCACTTCTTTCAAGGCCATCTCAAGACCTTCATCTTTGACCTTCTGCTTTCTGTCAGCTTTCCCCTCCCTACCCTCCTCGAGTCTGTTAAGCACTTCAGGATGTCCCCTTGACGTAATAGGCACTGTGTAAATTTATATTATGTTATATATTGAGGCAAAGTCAATAGATTCCAAGCTATGTGTGTAGTGCCTTTCACATTTGGAGGACATCCTAAGGTGCTGAACAGTCAAGAATGTGCAGCCGAGCTGGGAGTTGGGATCAGGAGGGGTGGAGGGCAGGAAAGGTGGGGCTAAGAGGGTGACTGAAGGCATGGTTTGGAAGGTCTGAAGATTGGCCTTGGAGGCAAGGGAGGGAGCAAGCGAAGGGACTCTGGGATGCAGTTCCAAACGGTGTGGGCAGAGAGGCTGAAGCGTTGAGGCCAGAATCTGCCAACTGGAGGGAGGTATGGGATTAGAAGGTCACAGAGGCAAGGCTTTGAAGGCGAGGACCAAGATTTTGAACTCTATCCTCTGGGGGATGGGGAGCAAATGGAGCCGGGTGAGGATGGTGTGATGGGTTAATGGAGCCTGGTGTGGATGACTTAGACAGATACGTGTTAAGCAGTTAACAGGCTTAGTTGAGCCCAATTCAAGAGGGAAACATTTGGAACGAACACCCCCTACCATCTCCACCTTACACAACAATAAAGTAAACAGTGTTGTTGAATTCAGTTTTATTTCTTTGGACCTGTACTGTCCAGACAGGGAGGAGGCTGCTGTGTGCAAGGTTTTATGCTGCAGGGAGGGAACCTTAGTTGTGTCCCTTCTGATCACGTTCCACTGAACTGAATTCACTCCGCCATGAGTGGTGAAAGGTCCCTGACTGTGTGGAGCGGGTTAGCATACAAACCGATAGAGACAGGCAGCCAGCAAGCCTTAAAGCCTCATCACGCCTTTTGAGAATAGGAGGAAAGCTGGGGGTGGGGGGAGGAGGGGAGAGGAGGGAAGAAATGGGACATGAATCTATTTATAATGACCTATATATAGCAAAACACGATTCAAGAGAGAAATAACTTGGGCATTTATTGGGTTTTTTTTACATCAAAGTGTCTGCGAGTGCTAATAGCTAATTTACCATCACTTTCAGGGTGATGTTTAGTGATTATAATAGCGTTTTACATGGCCCCTCAAATCATTTGTATTTTTCTAGGCAAATGTGGCAGTCAATTGGAATGCAGCAAGACCCCACAAACAGCCATTAAACTAATGAAGAGTTTTATTTTAGGGGGTGGGGGGAAGGGGGATTGTCAACCAGGACACCAGAAGGAACTCCCCTTTACTAATCTTTGACCACCCGAATAGACAGAATAGACCACAACAATAAATTGTATTTATATAGCGCCTTTCACATTGGGAGGACATCCCAAGGCACTGGACAGTCGAGGTTTTAGATGGGACGTTGAACCAAGGTCCTGTCTGTCTGTCTGTCTCTCTGTCTGTTTGAGCGATGTTCAGGTGGATGTTAAAGATCCCGCAGGCACTATTGGAAAAGAGAAGAGAGTTTCACTCTCCCGGTGTCCTGGCCAACAACCCCCCAGATAAAATCAGTCATTCACTTCATGGCCATTCATGGAGCAATGCTGTGCACAAATTGCCTGCTAGATTCACCCACAAAACACATTCCACTTTGCAGTAAAAATCACGTGAAGCATCAAAACACAAGGATTATTGTTATGCACGTGTGGTGCTCTCAGTCTAGTTTGGACACAGAAAGTGGCCATGGGTTGGACATGGCTGACTCCCAAAAAAATCATTTGAAAAATTTTAAATTTTGGTGCTATCAGCTCACAATGTAAGTTTTTTTCTTCCAAATATTTCCGCCACTCTACCCCCACAAACAGCCATGGATTGAGTGACCAAATTATTATTATCTTAAGAACATAAGAACATAACAATTGTTACATGAAAAAAGACCGGGATCCATCCAGTTCACCTTCCACCACAGAATCATAGAATTATACAGCACAGAAGGAGGCCATTCGGCCCATTGTGTCTGTGCCGGTTATTTGAAAAGAGCTATCCAATTCAACGCCACTCCCCCGCTCTCTCCCCATAGCCCTGAAACTAGTCATCCCCAAATAATTATCTACTTCTCTCTTAAAAGCTGTTATAGAATCGGCTTCCACCACCCTTTCAGGCAATGCATTCCAGATCCGAACAACTCGCTGTGTGAACCATCCTGGCAGTTACTTGACATATCACTTGACACCAAACTATATACTGTATCCCGAGATATTATTTTCTAACAAAAATCCATCTAATTTATTCTTGAAAAAATCAACACTTTTGGCTTCCACCGTCTCCCTAGGAAGCCTGCTCAATATGTCTGCTACTCGCTCACTAAAGTATTGTTTCTGCATATTTTTGAATTTTATTTATTGATTGTTTTTTTTTGCCCAGATGGATTGTTGACTGTGGAGACTTCCTTCAACGACTGCCTACAGGCAAGCGAGACTTGCGTCAGTGACCCCAAGTGCAGCCCCATGTACCGCACCTTCCGCCAGTGCATGGCCGGCAGCAACGCTGCCCCTCTCGGGCCAGGAGCCAAGAACCAGTGCCTCAACGCCTTGGTCTCCCTCCTCTCCGGCCCACTCCGCAACTGCAGGTGCAAGAGAGGCATGAAGAAGGAGAAAAACTGCCTGGGCATCTACTGGAGTCTGCACCAAAGCCTTATCCAAGGTCAGTGCTCAAACCGATTCACTTCACTAAACTAATATATAATAATCCTTCCATTTGATTGAGATGCCTCCTGAAGTTGCTGCAACAATAGTAAGGATTATTTCTGCACATGAGACGTCTCAAAGGGCTTCACAAAATATACTGTAAAGTGAATTGACCTCATATTTTGTAGATGAAACACAGCAGCCAATTTGCATACAGCAGTGTCCCACAAACAGTCGTGGTTTAAGTGAACACTTTTTTNAAGGGATTATTAACCCGCCAATCGATTAACAACTGGGTTCCTACTTAGGTAAACAGGCATGTGGAGTAAGGAAACGTGACTAAGGTTTCGTCCTGCCCGGGAATCAAACCTGGGCCCCTTGCTTGCAAGGAGAGTGCTCGAACCAATACACAACAGGACTCCAGGACTATTCACTTCTCTAACCTAATATATCTCCGATATACAACAAAATCTTTGCCCTCACCTCTGAAGACCTTTCCTCTTCAATCGGACTGATTATCACCTCCCCCCTCTCCCCGGCTCGCTATATAATGATAATAATATAATAACCATAATCCTGAACTCTCGAAACATCTCTTAAACACTTCATAGAAATTACCGTCACATGCAAGCATAACATTCAAAATCTGTACATTTGATACAACCCTTTTCGTATCAGGAGGCGTCTCAAAGCGCTTCACAGGATTTACTGTAAAGTGTAGTGGCTGTGTGTATGTACGGTTAGGCGGCAGCCGACTTGCGCTCAGCAATCTGTGTCAGTTGTTGTTGTTGACGGCGTTTGGGTTAGAAGGATTAAGATAACAAAAGCTGCTCTATATAAACTCGCAGTCTTGCTGGTGAAGCTAAGCACCTTGTTCTCTCCCTCGGGCCGTGGCTGATGGATTGGCCGGCACCGGGAGAATCTGCTGCAGTCAGATACCGGCAGCCCATTCATCATCCCCGACAGCCTGCATTTTGGCTGAACACTAGCTCAGCAGCTCGCTGCTGCGTTAACCCTGCTCGACTACCTTCTCGTCCCCATCCCTGGCTGTACCACACAGTGTCTGTCCACAGTGCCTCCGGAGCCACAGTGCTGAGCGGCAGCGACCAAGAGCGCAGGGATGTGGGTCAGATTGATTGCTCACTGTATAGCTGAGGGTTGAGAAGCGTGTGGCTTGGAGTAGAAAAGGAAGCCAAAGTGGGAGGGAAGGGGGGTGTGGAATCGGGAGCGGAATGGGGGGAGTGGGTGAGGGGGAAGTGGAGGGAGGGAGAGTGAATATGAATATGGAATGAGAGCAACAACTTGTACTTGTTTAGCATCTCAAAGAAATGTGGGGCTTTTTTCCTGGTTTATCCCAACAAAACACATAGTCATTACACATTAAGGTAAATCCTATGAAGTGCTTTGAAATGTAAGATTATCATTATTCTGGATGAGATGTTAAACCGAGGTCCTGTCTCTCTGTTCAGGTGGATATTAAAGATTCAGTGCCACTATTCAAGAGAGAGTAGTTTCTCTCTTCCGGTGTCCTCATTTCATGACTGTTTGTGGGACATTGCTGTGTGCTACTGTGCTGCTGTGTTTGCCTACACATACACAGTTATTCCATTTCACAGTAATTCCCATGAAGTGCTTTGAGACATGATAAGGCGATCTACTAAATGCAAGGATCATTTTGAGGATAACTTTCCATTTAACCTTATGTTCCGCTGAAACTCAAAATTCAGGACAATTGGGTGCTGCAAACTATGGACTTGATCTGTGTTAGCAGTTAGCATTGTAACACCATTTTCATGTGATGAATGTGAAATGGGAGCCTTCCTATTAAATTTGGTAGCTCATTTCCACGGTTGTTTGTGTGGGACATCGCTGTGTGCAAATTGGCTGCCGCATTCACCCACAATACACATAGAAAATCCTGTGAAGCACTTTGAGAGATCTCGATGAAGTGCTAAAGCGGTGTATCAAATGCAAGGATTATTATGATTAAAACAAGTCCTGTAGCATATTGGTTAGAGCACTCACCTCGAAAGCGAGAGGACTCGTGCTTGATTCCCAGGTGGAGCAAAACCTTAGGCAAGTTTCCTTACTCCATACGCCTCTGTTTACCTAGCAGTAAGTAACTCGGTTGTTAGTCGATTGGCAGATCGCTTTCTGGGGTAATAATCCCTTCAAAAAAATGTTTGTGGGACACTGCTGTGTGCAATTGGCTGCCGCTTTTTGCCGACAAAATATGCAGTCAGTTCACTTTACAGTACATTCTGTGAAGTGCTTTGAGATGTCTTGACGATGCAATAAAGCACTATATCACTAAGGATCTATCTCAAACTGCCTTTCCTGACCAACATTTTGGAACGCGTCATTTCAAATCAACTTCGCTCACACCTCTCCCTCCATTCCCTACTCAAACCCCTCCAGTCTGGTTTCCGCCTTGCCCCTGGAACAGAGACAGCTCTCGTTAAAGTAATAAATGACATCCTCTCTCTCTGTGACCTGGACTCCCTCTGCCTCCTCGTTCTCTTAGACCACTCCGGCGTGTTCGACACAATCGATCACACCATCTTCCTCCACTGTCTCTCCTCCCTTATCCACCTTAGTGGGAATGCACTATTCTGGTTCGATTCCTACTTCACAAACTGCCAACAATACATTTAGGCAAATGTTTTTTTTCTTCCCACCCCTTCCCAGACACCTGCGGGGTAACCCAAGGCTTCATCCTTGGCCCCCTTTTACTCATCTACATGCTCCCTTTCAGCAATGTTATCCGCAGACATGGGGTCAACTTCCACATGTATGTGGATGACACTCAAATCTACTTCTCTTCCTCCAGCTTCAACTCCTAGTCTGTTGAAGTCCTGTCAACTTGTTCGATGGACATCAAGGCCTGGATGAGTGCAAATTTTATGCAGCTGAATGTCGGCAAGACGGAAGCCATACCATTTGGCTCCCGTCAACGTCTTCTCTCCTGCGGGTCTGAATTCCTCAACCTCCCTGGGTTCTTCCTCAGACTCACCGAACTCGTGCGCAACTTAGGTGTCAGGTTCGATCCCTAGCTTTCCTTTCTACCACACATCTGTTCCCTGACTAGGACTGATTTTTCCCACCTCCACCACATTGCCCGCCTCCATCCGTACTTCATAACAAAACCCTCGTTCACACCTTCGTCACTTCCTGCTTGGGCTATGCCAATGCTCTTCTCGGTGGTCTCTCCAGCTCCACCATACACAAAATTTAATTAATTCAATTAATCCAATCACCGCCACCTGGATACTCACCCGCGCAAAACTCTGTACTCCCATCACGCCAGGCTCCACTGGTTCTCAATTGCTGTACGGATCGATTTCAAGATCCTCTCACTCGTTTTCAAATCCCTTCATGGCCTTGCACCTCCCTACCTATTCTATCTGCTTACCCCCCCCCGCTCCCCTTAACCTCTGCGCCACCATCGGTGGCTGTGACTTCAGCCACTATGCCCCAAAACTCTGGAACTCTCTCCCTCAATCTGGAGCCTGGCAAGCACTGGTGTGATAGGGGTACAGAGTATTGTGCAGGCAAGTATTTGGGCTGCGGACATTGGATTAATTGAATGAACCTTGGGCCTTAGCTAGAGTAATGTGTTCAGTTCTGGGCACCACACTTTAGGAAGGATGTCAAAGTATTGGAGAGGGTGCAAAGGAGACTTACTAGGATGCTACCAGGAATGAGGGAGGAGAGGCGAGAGAAGCTAGGAATATTCTCCTTGGAGCAGAGAAGGTTAAGAGGAGACTTAACAGACGTTTTCTAAATTACAAGGGGATTCAATAGAGTGAACAAGGAGAAACTTGGGGTGGGAGAAACTGGCGAATGGGCACTGTTTTAAAATAGTTGTTAAAAGAAACAGAGGGAGGTGAGGAGAAATTGCTTTACACAACAAATTGTTTGGATCTGAGGAATTCATTGCCTGAAAGGGTGGTGGAAGACGATTCAATAACAACTTTTGAGAGAGAAGTAGATAATTATTTGGGGAGGACAAGTTTGCAGGGCTATGGGGAGAGCCCGGGGGAGTGGGATTGAATTGAATAGCTCTTTTCAAAGGACCGGCACAGACATAATGGGCTGAATGGCCTCCTTCTGTGCTGTATAATTCTATGATTCTATGAATCCATCCACCTTACCCCCTCACTCCTCACCTTCAAATCCTACCTAAAAACCTTCATTTTTGATCGTGCTTACAGTCACCTCCCCCTCCCTCTCCCCCTGGTTCCATGTCAGACTTCTCAACTGTCAAGCACTCCATGACCCTACCCCCATGAAGGGTGCTATATAAATGCAAGTTGTTATTATTGTTATATATCAATTGCAAGGATTATTATTATAAAATAATTATGATTATTATTAAAACAAAACTTTTATATGGGGGTGGTGCGAGGTGAGGAGGAGGGGAGTGAGGGGGCTTTGATGAAGTTTGGGGGGTGAAGAGAAACAATTTCCTTTTCCTTAATGAAAACCAGCTGGGAAACCTGTCAAGGGAAACAGGCCCAAAAGGAGCCTTTCAATCATCTCACTCCTCACCCCAGAGCAAAATGGGAAGGGATTTAACATGAAAGGCACGGAGCAAGCAAGCATACTCCAGAAAATGTGGCACAGCACTCGCAGTATATTATTCTGATTATCGTGTTGATGTTTGCCACCCAGACCTGGACTGAAGTAGAGAACTTCACAATTTACACTGGAGTCCGGTAGTGTAGTAGTTAGTGTGTTCGCCTCACAAGCGAGAGGACCTGGTTTCGATACCAGGGTGGAGCCAAACCTTAGGGAAGTCTCCTTACTCTATACATGCCTGTTTACCTAGCAGTAAGTAGGAACCGGGTTGTTTCAATTGATAGGTAATAATTCCGTCCCCATTTGGTCACCTAATCCATGACTATTTGTGGGACACCGCTATGCACAATTGGCTGCCGCGTTTTGTCCACAAAATATGCAGTCAATCTATTTTACAATATATTCTTTGAGACATCTCAACAACGTGATAAGGCT